TATATGATAAAGGAGCCATGGATATACAATGGAGAAAAGAAAGCCTCTTCAACAACTGGTGTTGGCAAAACTGGACAGCTACGTGTAAGAGAATGAAACTGAATTACTGCCTAACTCCATACACAATAGTAAACTCCAAGTGGATCAAAGACCTGAATGTAAGACATGAAAATATAAAACTCTTAGAAGAAAATATAGGCAAAAATCTCTGGAACATAAATATGAGCAATTTTTTCCTGAACACATCTCCTCAGGCAAGGGAAACAAAATAAAAAATCGACTACATCAAACTAAAAAGCTTCTATACAGTAAAGGATGCCATCAGCAGAACAAAAGGGCAACCTACAGTATGGGAGAATACATTCGTACATGACTCATCTGATAAGGGGTTAACATCTAAAATATATAAAGAACTCATATGTCTCAACACCCAAAACACAAATAATCTGGTTAAAAATGGGAAGAGGACCTGAACAGACACTTCTCCAAAGAAGAAATACAAATGGCCAACAGGCAAATGAAAAGATGCTCCACATCACTAATTATCAGGGAAATGCGAGTAAAAACCACAATGAGATATCACTTCACACCAGTCAGAATGGCCACTATCCAAAAGACAAGAAATAACAAATGTTGGCAAGGATATGGAGAAATGGGAACCACCTACACTGTTAGTGAGAATGTAAATTGGTGCAACTGCTGTGGAAAGTAGTGTGGAGGTTCCTCAAAAAACTAAAAATAGAAATACCATTTGACCCAGGAATTCCACTTCTAGGAATTTACCCAAGGAAAACAAAATCCCTGATTCAAAAAGATATGTGCATCCCTATGTTTATTACCACACTGTTTGCAGTAACCAACATATGGAAGCAACCTAAGTGTCCATCAATAGATGAATGGATAAAGAAGATGTGGTATATACACACAATGAAATATTATTCAGCTGTAAAAAGAAAAGAAATCCTGCCATTTGCAACAACATGGATGGATCTAGAGGGTATTGTGCTCAGTGAAATAAGCCAGGCCATGAAAGAGAACTACCATATGATTTTATTTATTTGTGAAATATAAAAAGAAAGCAAACAGAAGGACCAAAACAGCAGTAGACATAGACACTGAGAAGTGACTAGTAGTTACCCAGTTGGGGAGGGGTTTGGGTCATTGAGGGAGATGCTGAGGGGGATAAAGGAGCACAATAATTTGCAGTTACAATGTAAGTTGGTAACGGGGATGGTAGTACAGCATGGAGAATATAGTCAATGGTGCTATAACATCTTTATACATTGGTAGATAGTAACCACACTAGGTGGGGTGAGGATTTAATAATATGGGTAACTGTTGAATCACTGTGTTGTACATTTGAAACCAAAATAAGATTGTGTATCAATGATACTTCAATTTAAAAAATGTATACCAACTGTAAAAGAAAAAAAATTTTTTAATAACCATGTTTTGGTAGAGCAATCTTTTTACTTTGCACTCTCAAGGGATGAAGACAAGCATTACACCTTGCACATGGAGATTTTGTCTATTAGAAAAGATACCTCCAGAAAGAGTCGGTTCAACCTTGATGGGAAGGACCTTATTAGGTACTTATAACCAACCCTTGTACCACTCCAAGGAATAGACTCTTAGATGCATGTGCCACATTTAAAGAAAGCATCAAACCCCAACTGGACTGCATTCCACATGGTGACCTGAAAATAAAGATTTCTCAGAATTGAAGCAGATGACATGAGGTGAGACAGCTTTCCCAAGATGTCTGGACCAGGCCTGTATACCATTTTCTCACTGCTGCTTCTGTCTCTCTCATGGAAAGAAAATGCCCTTACCTGCCTTTCCCAAGCCCTTGCAAAAGGGGGAAACCTCTTCTTTTGATGACGGCCTTTTGCAAACAGCCCCGCTATGATCTGTGAGCTTTTTGATGGGTAAGAAGGTTCAAAATTCACACGCCTTTCTTTCATCTGTACTATTGTCTGCCTCTAGATTCTTATCCAAAGTCATGTTCTCTACATTTGCACTTTTACAGGCTGTATTATTGGAGTTTATTTTTCAACAGTAATTTGAGACAACAATGTTGTTTTAATACATCTTAGAATTTTGTTTTTCTTGCAAAAAGTTCATCAGCTATTTGCTTCATGTTTATACCTTGACTGTACCTACCCAAATGCCCTTGGTTAATTACTTTCAGGGTGCTGTTTTGGCATTCACTATCCTGCTTTCATGGCCAGTTCACACAGGGATTTCTAGGAGGCACACGTGACAACAGGTTTGCCTGGGTAGGAAGAACTTTCCTCCCCTAAGTTGGGACAAGAGCCAATAAATATTTCAGTTGGCTATTTTCAGACCTAGAGTCCTGGTTTAGCACCATCATGCAATTTGGAATTGTCATGTAACCTCTTCTATTTTGTATAATTATTTTAAGTTTTGTATTTTGTTGCCGGTTGAACTTCTATAGAACATGATGTACCCAGTAATAAATATAAGGTGATCTCCAGCGCTTACAATCTTCATAAATATGGACTATAGATGGGAAATGCCGAAGAGTTCTCCTTCCTAATCTTCCTTGTTACTCTGATACAGGACATGACAACCAGGAAAGGTCCTTCCTGGCTCTAAGGGATAAAACCACTGATACAGAAAACCTGACTCTTTTTCTGCCATACTTTCAAGAAAAGATCTAAAGGGGAGTCAGGAGGCCAGCAGGGGGCAGTTCTCACACCCGCCGCTCCTCTAATTGCAGACCCTAGCAGAAGAAAACGCCTTGCAAGTCGATACTATTTTTGGCACTTTTCTACTCAACTGGAGGAAGGAAGGTTCCTGCCACCTCGGAAAGAGCCCAGCCAATGAGAAATCATGATATATGGAGCTTCCAGTTTCGGCCAATGGACTTTCTGTTTAAAACAGCCCTTCCAGCCCTGCCCTTTCCTTACAAAAGAGCATTCCTCTTCTTTTCCTCTGGACTTGCCTGTCGTTGTGCCTTAGCTTGATTGTCCCGAATTGCAATTCTCTGCTATTCCTGAGTAAACCCATTTTTGCTGCTAAAATAATTTTTATTTTTAAGGTTAACATCTACTTATCAGAGTGTTTAGGATTGAATGTTATCATCCTTTTTAAGAAAGGAAACTGAAGTCCAGACTGATTGTCACTTGGTCAAAGTTGCCCAAATAACAGAGCTGGGATTCAGTTCCACATCTGCCTGAATTCAGCCCACACCACACAAGGCATCTTACCTCGACAAGCAGCACAAGCGAAGTCCGTGCTCCTCCCACTGTGCTATGCCGCCGCAACTATACAGCTGGCTCTTTGCCAGACGTAGAGCTGGACTCATTGTGCTTGATATTATTTCTCTGGCCCCACTTTTCTGAGCTTCATATAAGCCCCTAGCTTTGATAAACTCATAATTATTTAGATCAGTCAAAATACCATTTATTCAGTTAGAGCTTTTTAGTTGAAGTCCTCATCCTAATAATAATGTGGAGCCTCATGGACAACTTGACTATTTCCAGTTCTCAGTAACACACTGACAAACCATTTCTGAAGATGGTGGTTTTCTGATGTGACAGTTTTCAAACCCTTACCTTGATTTGTGTTGTTTTGTCTTACAGGATGGCTTTTGACTAATAAAGCTGAATATATAAAAAAATATAAAAGTTATATACATCAAAATACATTAGAGAAGAACAAAAAATAAGAGTAGGTAAAATGTTAACAAAGCATAGGACAAAGTATCACTATCCATAATATGTTAAAATCTATCAGTCAAAAGGGAAAAATATGCAGTAGAAAAGCAGGCAAAGGACATGATTACACCATGAAAAATACTCTCCTTCACTCATAATTTTTGAAATGCAATATTAAACAAGATATTCTCACAAACCAAAACTGATCATTCTTTAGACTGGTATGACTACAAGCGGGCAAGCCCTCTCCAGCACTGCTATACAACATTGCCAGAGAGCAATGTGTCCCACATTCTAATGTGCAATTGATTTAGCAATTCAGGTCATAGGAAGTGATGCTCCAGAAATACTTACACAAAGGCATGGGTGCTTGTTGCAGCACTGTAATTTTAGTAAGTTGAAACCTCTCTAAATGTTCATGTATAACAAATGGTAAATAAATTGCAGTCCTTCCACACAATGGTTGTGCCTTAGCTTGATTGTCACAAAGCCACAATCACTTGATTCCACAAAGCCACTGTTTTAAAGGATTAGGTAGACTTACATGTATAGATGCTCCATAATATGTCTAAGTGGCTTTTGATATACTCTACACTATGTTTTTTAAATGATGTAACATATAAACAAAAACTAGAAGGCTATAAATTTACGGAGTGAAAATATGGGGCAATTACCTGTTAATCTCAAATTTTCATCAAATTTCCTCTAATTCTGTTATCCAAACTATTTTCAAGCCCTTAAAAAATAACAATAATTTAAGACAAGGCCCTGTTTTATAGAAGAGCTGTATGCTTCCTCTCTGATGCTTCAAAGGACTTGCCCAAAGTTGAGAAATCAAGTGCAGACTCTGTCCTTACCCTGCAGTATGAAGTGACATCTCCTCTACAGAGACCTGACTCTTGTGAGATTAAAATCCATAATGTGGGGATAACTTCACATAACAATGGGTATTACTTACCACTACATGAGAGGATAAGAACACAAAGCAGGTAGTAAATATGTTGTGTGAAACCCCAAAAGAACTCCCTGAAATAGGCAAAATACATTCTCAAAAAGAATCCTATGACAATTCACAATCCACACAGAAATATAAATATTCAAATATTCCCACAGACTCTGGCAATGAGACTTATGCATCAGCTCTTCACTGTCTTTACTGGCTGTGGAGGAAGACAATGAATGAGTCAATTAGCAACTCCTGTGGAGTGCTTCCTATCAGCTTGGTGCTCTCCTGGGTGCTGTGAGAGAGCTTTGAAAAGAACCAGATACTTTCCTTCCCTCACAGTCCCACCATGAGAAGGAATTAAAGCTTGAATCTAAGATCAGGAGATTTATTCTGCTACGATTTCTCTTATATGGTGGGAAAATTAAACCCCAGTCAGGCCAGCAAGCCCCTACAATGCATGGAAGAGACGTGGCCGGTTGCCTCAAGAGCCCTGTGGAGATTCATCGGTCCTGGTAGCTCAAGAGTTACAGTGGCAACTTCTTCATTCACCTCCAAGAAAGCACTGGTCTCTTTGGGAGAAGTGGATCTCTTCTTATGGTAGGCTTCTACACAACCTGAGTTCTTTCCTCTGTGTTTATTCTTCAGTCTCCTCTTGTACATCTTATATGCTAGGTAGTAAAATACACAAGTATTAAAAAATCACTTTAGCGAAGAATATAATTTACTGGCATTGTATTCTTATCAGTACATTGGGGGTTTGTCTGCTTTGGGTAATGGATGTATAAACTCACAGGAATTGGGGTTGTTGAGACTGTGTCTCAGCCGTTCCTGCCTGCTTCACTATGGTTTTCCTCTCACCTGCCTGATGTGAAGGAGTTGCTCCTCCAGTTCTTAGTTATTTTTCAGAGGAAATTTATAGCTGCAGATTTGGTGTGTCACCACCTTTGGGGGTGGAAGTGATTCAGGATCATCATATGTAGCTGTCTTGAATGAGTCAATTAGCAACTCCTGCAGAGTGCTTCCTATCAGCTTGGTGCTCTCCTGGGTGCTGTGAGAGAGCTATGAAAGAACCAGACACTTTCCTTCCCTCACAGTCCCACCATGAGAAGGAATTAAAGCCTGGATCTAAGATTAGGAGATTTATTCTGCTAAGATTCCTCTTATATGGTGGGATAATTAAACCCCAAGTATTCTTTATATTGATTAGTATGTCAGTAACCAGTATATAGTCAATTATATCAATAATCATTGAGCCTTACTCAGAATCTGTTCCCTGACAACAACAAAAATTTACAATGCCTATTGTAAAATCTATATGTCTACATACTATCTATCCATATTTTCTCTTAACCTGGTGTAAACCTACATATTGATGGACTCTAAAATGATGCATATATGGCCATATGGATAGGTTATGCATATATACATACAGTATTTCAATGTCTGTGTATGTATTCTATTTTTTTATTAAGGTATCATTGATATACATTCTTATGAAGGCTTCACATGAGCAACATTGTGGTCACTACATTCACCCATATTATCAAGTCCCCGCCACATACCCATTGCAGTCACTGTCCATCAGCATAGTAAGATGCTATAGAGTCACTGCTTGTCTTCTCTGTGCTATACTGCCTTCCCCGTGCTCCCCCTACATTATGTGTGCTAATCATAATGCCCCTTAATCCCCTTCTCCCTCCCTCCCCACCCTACCTCCACATGCTCTTTCCCTTTGGTAAACGCTAGTCCCTTCTTGGAGTCTGTGAGTCTGCTGCTATTTTGTTCCTTCAGTTTTGCTTGTTCTTATACTCCACAAATGAGTGAAATCATTTGGTACTCGTCCTTCTCTGCCTGGTTTATTTCACTGAGAATAATACCCTCTAGCTCCATCCATGTTTTTGCAAATATTCCCTTGTGTATATGTACCACATCTTCTTTATTCATTCTTCAGTTGCTTCCATGTCTCAGCTATTGTAAATAGTGCTGCAAGAAACATAGGGGTGCATATGTCTTTTTTGAATTTGTCTTTTTTGAATCTGTGATCTTGTTTTCTTCGGTAAAATTCCTAGGAATGGAATTCCTCGGTCAAATGGTATTCCTGTTTTTAGTTTTTAAGGATGGCTGAACTAATTTACATTCCCACCAACAGTGTAGGAGGGTTCCCCTTTCTCTGCATCCTCACCAGCATTTGTTGTTCCTTGTCTTTTGGATGTTAGGTATGTATTCTATTTTATAGTTGAAAAATATTTCACAGCCATTCAGCACAATTCTTAGTCACAGAAGCACTGAAATGATCTGGCATTTGGAAGACTTCAAGGCTCTTGAGAAAACATAACAAATGTCATTTTTGTGATAAATTATTATTCAAAGAGAGTTATCAAGTTCTGGAATCTAAGTTCTGATAGTGCATTGTTTTTATGAAGCACATTTGTTTATAATTATAAGCTTTTACATGGTTTTAAATATTTTTCTGTGAAACTTCCACTTGTGGCAAAGGATCTTGTTTATACACTTTATTTTTCCCAGAAATGTCAGACTAAAAATGTCTCAAAAGGGTAGCATATGGATATTTGGATTGAAAAAGGAGTCAGTAAGTTGGGTTGACAATTTTCAATCAAGTCTACCCACTGGGGGCTCTACCCACCTGCAACAATGAAAAATCCATCCAAGATTTGGAAAAGCCCATAGGCCAATGGGAAGCTCAGCATCTGGACCAGTTGCTCAGCTGCAAAAGACAACTGGAGCATGGTGATACACATCTGAATATTCTGAGCTCCAGTTTCTAAGGAAATCGTCCTGCACCTAACAGTGAAACATTTTCCAAGAGTTACATACCAGCAATAAGGACTATTCCTGAATTTTTTCTTATATATAGCAATAAATTTATACTATGAGCCTAGGCCACTGAAAATGTTTACTCATTCAGTAATTATTTGTTGAGTGCCTACTATGTAGATAGTCTCCTGATAGGCACTTCAGAATAGGGCCCTATGAATCCTGCCATAGGAATCTGGGGGCAAAGATATACACACAGGAAAGGTTCAGTGACAGCACAAGACAAAGGATAATCCAGGGTCAGGGAGATGCTGTAGAAATTCAGAAAAGTGGCATAAGCGGTTAGAGAAGGCTTCACAGGGGAAGAGCAGGATAGAAGGGTGGAAAGAGTGAAGAATGACAGTGATTGACATTGAAGTTGCAGGGGCAGGTATGTGCATGGCCTCTTAGGAGGCACTGCATGTGCTGGAAGCCAACCTGAGCAGAGTGGAGGTTGAAGGAGACAAGAATGGAAAACCGAGTTAGAATTATGAAACAGTATAAACTAAACAGCACTTGGAAAAAAAAACTAAATGAAAACCCAATGTCTAAAATGGTTTCTTTAGTGAAAGGGTTTAGTAATAAGCTTTTTCTACTTTCTACTTGTCTGTATTTCATTGGTTTTCTAATTGCAAAGAAAGAGGGAGAGAAGGGAGGAAGGAGGGAGGGAGGGAAAAGGGGAGGAAGTTCATTTGAAAAAAAAAGCAGGAGGGAGAAAAAGGAAGACATAAGCAGGATCTTGGGGGCTGGGTTAAGCAGTTTCTTCTGTCTCCAATTTATAAAAGAGACTTCAGGTTTTTATAGATGATAGTAGAGAAAGGAAAGAGGTGTTTCAAAAAATAAACCAGTATTCCTATGCAAGCTAGATTGTAATATGGAAGTAACAAGGGTGTGTAATGTGGGAATGAAAATATATTATCATTAGTAAGGGCGAGCTCTGTGGCTTTTAATTTATTTCTACTTTTCCTATTGCTTGCTACACTTCTTCATCCTACCCTCACTGCAAGATGCCTGTCAATATCTTGATATGATTAAACTACAAAGCTGAACCTCAAACCTGGACCATTCACAAGACAAATGCAGTACATCAGTTCTGATCTCACTGAAGCCATCAGGTATGAAAAAAACAAGATTGTTAACTAACTATATTTTGCCACAGGAATACCTTCTGTCCACATCCAATTATATTTCAACAACTCAACAATCTGCGCTCATAATTATTGACCTTAGAAACAAACCTAGGCCCAAATTCTAACTCCACCACATTCTGGCTCTATGAACTTAAGGTTAAGTTGCTTAACTTCTCTGAAAGGTTTGCTCATCTGTTGAATAATGGTATTAATAGTATCTAGTTCTCAGGCTGGTAGTAAGTAAATGAGATGCATTTGGCAGAGCCTCACCCAGTACTTGGTACAATCCTAAATTCCCCAAGTGGACTAGACACAGCATAATGTCAAGTAAAAATTTCCTAAACTCCACCTTTGGGATTCAACTGCTTAGTTTACTTTTCTTCAAAAATTTTCTGACTCTAATAGTACATACTGATTGAAAAATTAAGAAAATATACCAAGGGAATATTAAGAAATTAAGTTACTCTTAATTCCACTACTCAAATTAAACAGTTATTTTTTCCTGTATTTTCCCACACATAAAGTCTTTTGCATTCTTCTACAAAATGGGAATCAAAAATGCATACTGTTTTCTATTTTCTTAACTTCAGTGTCTCTCTAAAGTATTTTCCAAAAGCATTGAAATCAATGCATCATATTTCATACATAGGCATATCATGAATTAAATATCTCCCTATAATTAGATATTTACATTGTTTCTATTTTTTGTGTTTATAAATAACACTGTAATTAGCATCCTTGCACATCAATATTCAGGGGCTTCTCTGACAATCCTAGTTTCAGGACAGATTTCTAGAAGTAAAATCACCGAGTTAACAACTATAAATATTTATAATGCTATTGATATGACTAAATTGCCTTCCAGAGAGGTTATGCCAATTTATGCTCCCTCTAACATTGTACAATAATGCTCATCTCATCTATAGACATACCAACACGGAAAATCATCATTTTTAATATTTCATGGTATTTATAAATTATATGGTCCAACTTGTAATTATAATATTTAAAGTAAGCTTTATCTTATTTCTCAAGTTTATCCTTTCTCATAATTACTACTTTTTTTTAAATTGGCACAAACAATGGATAAATGCTTAATCTCTTGAATCTTGTGCATGCCATACTTTGATCTTTATATTTATGAAACCATCTCACTCCTCCTATTTAATTACTAGAATAAGAAATGTGTCCAGATTTCAACAAGTGGTATTAACACTACAGCTTAACTTCACAGATTATAATTTCCCATCAATTTGACCTTTGCTTTCATTTACGTGAAGAATTAATATGATCTGTTCCATGCACCATGTCAAGTCAAAACTCTCAATGTCTCCTGACACAGCCAGGAAGCAAAGCCTGCCAGTGGCAGTGTGTTTACTTTATCCTCCTCAGAAAAGGGTATGGATAATTTAACTGTACCTCTGCCAAGATTGGTGGGTAAGAATTGCCAGCAGGAAGCCTGCGACATGGCCAATCAAAGGAAAGATGAAACTGATGATCAGAAGAGTGATGTCTGAATTCCAAGATCCTTTCACCAGCACCACACCAGCTCCTGCAACCACCAGGAGGAGGACCCCACCAACAATGGTCCCAATCTAGAGCAAACAAATAGAATAAGTACAGGTAAACATCAGTCTGTTTGCTCTGTGACACAAAGCTCATCACTGCCCTGAGGGGCTTGGAGCCTAAAATTTCTTAGAGACTACCAAATCCAATCTCATTTGCAGAAAAGAAACAGAGTTCCAAAGTGGTCAAGGTGATTTGGCTAAGCCAGAAATTGGTAAGGCTAAACACAAATCTAAGTCTTATTTTATGATCACCATCTTTTCCCTTCAAGTAGAGGACTTGGCCAGAAGAATTGGGTAGTAGAGTTTCCCCTGGAGAGGACAAATTTGTGAAATCAGTGAAATCTGACAGTAAGCATTCCAACACTCCTACACGAACCTGTTAGACCCCTCACTGGCAACCTCTGTCTGAAATCTGCCCTCCCTGACCATCTGCCCCTCTCTTCCCACCATGCTTTCAACCACCAGTGGCTTCTTACTGCTCTGATGCCCTTCTCTCCTCCAAATGAAATTTACCCATTCTTCATTAGATAGTCTGAGCTAATATTGTAATATAAGAAGTACTGACAGATACCTCTATCACCTCCCAAATAAATACTGTTCTTAATTTTGTTGTTCCACAAAAACAAAAAAAGTTTCCAATAGTTTTAAGTTTTAGATCAGATAGATAGGAAGCAAGACCCAGAATATTTGGGAAAACTAGGATTTTGACAAGCTCGCATTCATACTATGCAGACAGCAAACTGTGCACCTAGCTACAGCATCAACCTTGATTTGAAAAGATTCAGGGTATGGAGGAAGGAGGTCATGAGGAACCCAGGCAAAACAGAAACAACCCCATGTACCGTAGATGTGCTCTAGGGATTCTTTTACAGCTCAAATACAGGGACAGACTGGGTCTCTGGACATCTCCCCTACCTAATGGGAAGATGCTGGAACACACCAAGGAGGCCTCAATTGTAAAAAATTCCTCTTCATCTTTCTACCAAAAAGGGATTTCAAAGTTTGAAAATTCACCAAGAGTTATTTGTTCAGAAAATGTTCAGATATAAAATTAAATGAAGACTAAAAAAAGGAGAATGAAAATATGCCAAAATAATGATCAGATTATCCTAGCTTTTTACTAAATTGCTCAGAATATTTATGCATATTATTAAATATTTTCTGCCAAAAATCCTATAAAATAGCCAAGGGATTGACATATAGAAAATTTATTTGATTTCTCCATTGACACTGGTGGACTAATTGAGGATTTGGAACACCATCAGGATTTTTTGTTAGATATCTTTTTAAGAAAAGTGACTGAAGATAGACTATTGAAGAGTAAGAGGTCTGCATGGTTATGCTCTCTCTTCTTGTTTTGTAAACAAAACGACAGCCGTGTGCAGCCACACAGGAAATTTCTTCTTGCTGAAATAACAAGATCATCCCTGTGCAATCCAAATGCACAACTTTTAAGCCTTCCTTCAGCTCTCAGGGCCCAGCTGATTGGTCTGCTTGTCCACCGTTCTTCTTCATCTCACTAGAGGAATAGTGGGAATTGTCCAGTGAAAGCAGCACACATTTGTACAGGCAGATGGGTGTGGTGTTCTGTCAGGTAGAACAAACAGCGGGAGCTTAAACTGAACCAAACCATAAACTCCAAACTAAAATGAACTGAGATATATTTCCTGAACATTCAATTAGCCCCAAGTTTATTTCTTTAGAAAGGTAATACAAATAAAATGTTTTTAAAATCTTCATGAAGCACAAATAATACAATTTTAGATCTTCTAAAACCATACATAGTTGGAAAACTTGAAAACACCCCAGGATATTAGCACTGTTGTCGAAAATGCCTCCTCTCTAGCTAGATATTTTTAAAAGTCACTTAACAAGGACACTTGCTTGTTTCTCCAGCAGACAAAAGATGCCACTGGAAAGTCAAGAGGAGGTAGGAGATTCCAGTTATCATCATTCCAAGGCCGGATTCCTCACTGTGCTGATTTTGTTTTGTCACTTATTCATGTGGTCAGCAGCCCTTGCTCAGGTGTACAAACCATGATTTTAGGAGCTCCTCCAGGAATGCTTCTGAAAGACAGCCCTTCATCCTACTTTTCCATGAAACCAGCCCTACTCCTAAACATTGGGGCTCCATTTCATGGACTTGAACAGCCTTCACCTTGAGAGTCCCTGTATGAAGCCTTGGAAATGGATGGTCAGGCCTTAGTTTTCTGTCACTACAGCAAGTCTCATGCTTTATAGTGTGTCATAAACCTCAGTGTATGGCCTGTGGGTGTGACAGAGCAAGGCTTCAAGAAGCAGAGGAAATGTGGAGGTTGGATCTAAAAGTGCAGGATAGGTAAGGAAAATTGTTGCATGTGGGACTGGCCTGTGTGTTGCAGCCGTTGTGTATGTCTGCCTTTCCAGTGTCTCGTCTAAGGATGGGCTCACTGCCATGTGGAGCTGCTTACCTTGAGAATGACTTTGGATTGCTTTGGCCATCTATAATTCACCCAGACGCCAGAGGCCACAGGAATAGTCAGGCACAGAAGAGTAATTCCTAAGGTAAGAAAAAATCTGTCAGATGGTATCCCTTCTCACCCTAACTGCCACTGCTCATTTCTATTTCAATTAGACAAAAGCTTTGTTAAAACTCCATTTTTTTCTGTATCCACCTCCAAATATAAAAAAAGAAAAAATATCTTTGAAAGACAGTTTTTGAAGGATGTATGATAGTAGTAAATGCCACCATACCTGGTCCTTCACTTCTCTGTCAGAATCCCTCTGTCAAGCACATGAAATTGTAGATAATATCTCTCAGGATATATTTTCAAAACAATATATTAGTGACATGTAGATATACTTTAATAATTAATAGGCATCATTCATGTTGAATCAGTAAAGAAGTCAAGGCTCACTGGCAACATAAAAGGTGGAGTCATGGAACTAAGTTCTCATTAGAGCCACTGTGATCCAGTAACCTTTGAATCACAAGTCCTATTGCTTCACAGTGAATTAGTTAGGTTTTGTATTTTTTTTTAAATAAGTGAGATCCCTGTTTTTCTTTATTTTCAAAAGTGGACTCCTATAGGGGTTAAGAGCGGGACTTTGCAGTCAGAATTCTAGTTCTATACTTATACCATCTACAAGACCTCAGTCAAGTTACTTAATCTCTATAATCCTGAAAAGCAAGGAAATGGAACTAGTGACAGAATCTATAGTAGAGTTATTTAGAGAATTAAATTAGATAATATATTTAAAATCCTGCATAAATGAGACATATAGTAAACAATAGATATTATCACCATCAACATTACTATTACTATCCCATTTCACAAGCCCAATACAGACCTATGTTCTGGTACGGGATGGTGAAATTCTGCTCAAGATTCCAGGACAAGGTGTAGAGATACAGGCAGAGTGGCATCATTCCCAAGGCAGCCACTGTGGAACAGGTTGTCATACTAATGCTGAAAATTAAATTAAATGATGTTTAAGAAGGAGAGTTTGAAATGAAGAATTTAATCCTTACCAAAAACTCCTGGGACACAACTCCTTAGAGATTTCAAGGGCTAAGTTCCTTGAAGCTCACTCCTGTTCTATTATTCAGCAAATGATGGATGTATTTGCAGTTCTTGACATCTGTCAATTAACTCATATTTACCTGAGGATATATTTGTCCTAAACATGCTACTAGGTACTATGAGGTTTTTTTTTCTTATACAGTTCTTTTCTATTGAGATACAATTCATAGACCATAAAATTCATCATTTTAAAGTGTTTTTAGTATATTCACAAGACTGTGCAATAGCAGCACTATTTCCAGAATATTTTCTTTATCCCCTGAAAGAAACCCTAGCCATAAGCAATCATTCCCCAGTGCCTCTTCCCCAGCCCCTGACAACCAGTAATCTACTTTCTGTCTGGATAGGGTTGCCTATCCTGGACATTTCATATGAATACAACCATACAATATGTAGCCTTTTTTGTGTGTCTGGCATAATATTGTCAAGGTTCATCCATGTTTTAGCATGTATCAGTTCTTCATTCCTATTTATGATAATATTGTATTGTGTGGATATGCCACATCATTTCTGTCCATTCATTAACTGAAGGATATTTCACATGTTTCCACTTTTTAGCTAATATGAATAATGCTGCTATGAATATTTGTGCACATTTTTTGTGCAGACATCTGTTCAATTGTCACAGTGTACACTAAGAATGGAATTGCTTGCTCATAGTTTAACTTTTTGAAGAAATGCCACGCTGTTTTCTAAAACAGCTGCATCATTTTATACACCTGCCATCAATATACAAGTTTTCTTAAGAATTTTTGCATATAATCCCTATTAAATTCCAAAAGCATTTTTCAATGAATTAGAACAAATAGTTCTAGAATTCATATGGAACCACAAAAGACCCTGAATAACCAAAGCAATCCTGAGAAAGAAGAACAAGGCGGGGACATTATGCTGACTTTTAGGCTATACTACAAAGCTACCATAATCAAGACAATATAGTATGGCACAAGAACAGACTAGAACAGAATAGAGGGTCAAGATATAAACCCACACATATATGGTCAATTAATATATGACAAAGGATCCATGCATATACAGTAGGGAACAGACAGCCTCTCAGATAGCTGGTGTTGGGAAAACTGGATATCTACATGCAAGAGAATGAAACTGTATTACTGACTAAGTCCATGCATAAAAGCAGATTCAAAATGAATCAAAAACATGAATATAAGACATAAAACCATAAAACTCTTAGAAAAAAACATAGGCAAAAATCTCTTGAAACTAAATATGAGCAATTTTTTACTAGACACGTCTCCTCAAGCAAGGGAAACAAGATAAAAAATGAACAAGTGGGACTACATCAAACTAAAAAGCTTCTGTACAGCAAAGGATATCAGCAGCAGAACAAAAAGGCAACCAACAATATGGAGAATATATTTGTAAATGATTTATCTGATAAGGGGTTAACATCTAAAATATATAGAGCTCATATGCCTTAATACCAGAAAAAACAATTAAACCAATTAATAAATGGGCATTCGACCTGAGCAGACATTTCTCCAAAGAAGAAATACAGAGAGCCAACAGGCACATGAAAAGATGCTCCACATAGCTAATCATCAGGGAAATGCAAATCAAAACCACAATGAGATATCACCTCACACCAGTCTGAATGGCCACTAACCAAAAGACAAAAAATAACAAGTGTTGACAAGGATGTGGAGAAAGGGAACCCTCCTACACTGTTGGTGGGATTGCAAATTGATGCAGCCACTCTGGAAAGCAGTATGGAGGTTCTAAAAAAAATTAAGAATACAAATAAGATTCAATCCAACAATTCTGTTTCTACGAATTTACCCAAAGAAAACAAAACCCCTGATCTGAAAAGATATATGCACTCCTATGTTTATGCTGCATTGTTTACAATAGCCAAGATATGGAAGCAACCTAAGTGTCCATCAATAGATGAATGGATAAAGAAGATGTGGTTCATGTACATACACAATGGAATATTATTCAGCCGTAAGGAGAAAAAATCTTCCCATTTGCAACAACATGGATTGGTCTAGAGGTACTGTGCTTGGTGAAATAAGTCAGGTGAAGAAAGACAAATACCATATTGTTTCACTTACTTGTGGAGTTAAAAACAAAGCAAAAGAGAATGAACAGAACAGCAATAGACTCATAGACACTGAGAAGTGACTGGTGATTACCACAGGGGAGGGGTTAGGGTAGGTCTGTGGGGAGGGTGAGGGGGATAAAGAGGCACAAAAATTCTCAATCATAATGTAAGTTAGTCATGGGGATAGTAGCACACCATGGAGAATATAGCCAGTGATTCTGTAACATATTCCTATGTTGACAGATAGTAACTGCACTAGTGGGGGTGAGGATTTCATAATATGGGTAACTGTTGAACCACTGTGCTGTGTACTTGAAACTAATATAAGACTATATATCACTAAAAAATTTTGTTTACATATATAGTCATAAGGAATATTGGTCTGTAGTTTTCTTGTGATATCTTTATCTAGTTTTTGGTACCAGGGGGATGAAAATAGGGCAAGTTTGCCACAAAGCTGTGTTTACTCAGTGCGAAATGTTATTAAATATCAGGAAGAAGTCACCCAAATGCCAGAAAAGTCCCAGTGGATAGAGAGGGGACCCCACAGCACTGATCCTCAAACAGAGCAAGCTGGACAGAGCCAGAGTAGGTACAGAACCATAGCAAAAGAGAATTGGTATGAACTGCTGGACTAAATTAAAACTTCTCTTTTAAATTTTGATATTGTGTGATCCCATGATTAGAAATAGGAGTAGTAGAGTGATGAGCTAGGATAAAAAGTAAGATTTCTAGACTTCAAAATGATGCTATGATTGACAGAAAAATGGGGTCACTTAGCATCAATTTGAGAGGACTTGTTAAGTTAGAGATGATACTGGGAATATTCTAGATAGGAAAATAATTCTAGATAGGAAAAGGGACCTCAGATGCTACCATCACTAGAGATACAAATCTACCATCTTGAAGGTGAAAAGTAGGTACGTGAATGAATCAAACACAGTCTGGCCAATAGCTATGCAACACAGCTGTACCAGGAAAATGAATGGGAATGATCAGAACAGAGTCTTGGTCTTTGTTGAACAAATCTGAATGATTCTACTAGACAATTGGTTTATCTTTGTTATTATTATGATTGTCTCTAACTCAAAAGGCTAACAAATTGTGTGCCCAGCATCTTAAGGATTTGCAACTACATAATATCTTGGAGGAAAAAAGTTTAGAACCTTCAAAAACTCTGTATTTTGATCACTATACTTTTATTGCAGTGTGTGAAATGTTATTGCTTCATAATTTGTAATATATTGTTTCTTTCTTTTTCCAAATATGTAAAGTCCTATTTTAAAGTCTTTACATTTCTTAATTGGAGAAAAAGAGTTACATGATAAAATATATAAGTTCAGTGTAATAGAAACATGTATGTATAATGAGAGACCCAGGGCCTGGGGAGCAGAGCCTTGGAAGGACCCCTCCCACTCTGGACTGGGGAGAGGGAGAAGAGCCCACTGGGCACATCCAGACAGAGCGGATGGAGCAGTGCGCGGAGGGCTATGAGCTCATCTTCCATGACAGCTAAGGAAAGAACGAATCAATGTGTCGGTACACTGCTGCCAGGAAAATGTTCTCTCTGCTTTCCTCATATGTCATATGTCTGCATGTGAACCTTGGAAATCTTAGTGAATTGAACCTTTACACTGAATTCAAGTGGTAGATAGCCCCAGCAGCAATCCGGAGGATCAGAGACTTTCTATTAACAAATAACTAAGTCATGCTTTTCCAAGTACAAATGTGAATAACATTTTAAAGAGCAAATATTTAGCTGACTGTTGTCCTTTTTAGAAATCTAGACTGAGGTAATTTGCAAGTGGTTACGTATACATCTCTTCTCTCATTTCTTTTAAGCAATCCTTCCATTTTCTTTTAAGTTTTTAAAGTTTAAGTTCTTTCTAAGCACCCCTATTTCATATTTTCTTGTTGGATGAATAGAGGCATTTCTTTGTTGTTGAATTTTAACACAGTCACCCCCATGCTCCTTACTGTGGCTTGGTTACTTTTTTTTTCTCCACTTAATATAATAGAATCCTTTCAAGGAAATACATATAGCTTCAACTTATTCTTTTTTTGTTATTTTTTTTAATTGGAATAAAGTTGATATACAATATTATATTGGTTTCAGATGTACAACATAGTGACTTGATAACTATATTTATTACTGATGCTTGCCACAATAAGTACATTTCCCCCTGAAAATACCAAGAAATTATAATATTATTTGGTTATATTCTCTGTTTTACTTCCATTCCAGTGACTAATTTATTTTACAATTTTCAGTTTGTACCTCTTTATCCCCTTCATCTAGTTTACCTACCTCCCCACTTCCCTCCCTGTGGTAACCAACAATCTGTTGTCAATATTTATGGGTCTGTGTTGTTTGTTTGCTTGTTTTGTTTTTTAGATTCCACATGTAAGTGAAATCACATGGTTTTTGTCTTTCTCGGCCTGGCTTATTTCACTTAGCATAATACCCTGTAGACCCATCCATGCTGTCACAAATGGCAAGATTTCCTTCTTTTTATGGCTAAGTAATAGTCCATTGTGTATGTGAACCACATCTTCTTTTATCCATTCATCTGTTGATGGATACTTAGATTGCTTCCATATCTTTGCTATTGTAAACAATGCTGCAGTGAACATAGGTGTGCATATATCTCAACTCATTCTTTTAAAGAACTGCAGAGCACATTATAATACCAATGTGCCATAATTTCTTCATCAATAATGAATCAATTGTTTTGAGTGTTTTTCTACTATAAACAAGGTTTTCATAAACTTTCTTATATGTATTTTACTTGAAATAATTATTTTATTTCCGTAGAATACA